GTTGATGACAGACTAGGGACAACATCCAGTTTTCTTTACCACTCGCTCCCATAAATACAAATTATTTTGTTCTGAGACTAATAATTAACGAGACATAAGAATCATATTGATGTGAAATGCAAATAAAAGTCATTGGCAAATATGGTTATTAACATGGCCAAAAATCTACCCTCTTTTGAGTAGATCTCTCTCTATCCCTCTCACACACACACATCCACACAGATACACACACACATACACAGACTAACACACACTTTCCTTTGTCCGTACCATGCCTCAAGTTGGGGTTAACTCCAACCCTTCTTAGGAGTTAATCCTAGAGATGTGTGGAATTTATGGATGAGTAGGTTGTGGAAGAACATCAGGTTACACTGAATTAAGGAAAACTGAAATGTTTATTGCTTATATTTCCATCTGTTATCAATAAGTTTTAGCTACAGGGTCACCAGCAAACCCAGTGAATATCACCACCCAAAAAACAGTTATACCGTAGATTAGGTCAAACTCTATTGAAAACAACTGACAGGTTTACTAAACTGTATTCTTGCTTGACTTTTACCTTTGCTGTAGAACAAATAGCAGTCAGTGACCAAACACAGACTCACACTTTGGTATAGCTTGAGAAATTCATTCTAGATCAGCATTGTCTAGTGAACAGAATAATTTTTTAAGAGTTTGTTAGTGCCGGGCGTGCAGTGGTCCACGCCCGTAATTCCAGCACTTTGGGAGGCCAAGTCAGGTGGATCACTTGAGGTCAGGAGCTTGAGACCAGCCGGGCCAATATGGTGAAACTCCGTCTCTATTAAAATAAAAAAATTAGCTGTGTATGGTAGTGGATGCTCGTAATCCCAGCTACTCTGGAGGCTGAGGCAGGAGAATCACTTGAACCCAGGAGGCGGAGGTTGCAGTGAGTGGATATTGTGCCACTATACTCCAGCCTGAGCAACAGAGCAAGACTCTGTCTTAAAAAGAAAGAAAAAAAAGTTTTTTAGACTGAGAGCCTAGAGACCTAGACTCCTTAAACAGTTGTGACGATAGGGACATCATCCTAGTGTCTTTGCACTTCACATTTCTTATTTGTAGATGATGATTGAATTTCTACACTTCTCATGTTCCTCCTAGTTCCAAAATTCTTTAATATAGCATTAGCCTGCAGAGCTGAATCCTGACCTGGTCGGATGAAATCTTAGCTGTGGGCATTCAGCATCATTGTACCTCTTACACTACTTGCAGATGATTATCTGTAGAAAAGACCTTTTAATGAAAATAGAAAATCTCAAAATCTCAGTATTCTCTCTACTTCTCTCTGCCTTTGAGACTTAATAATTCACTCAACCCTTCTAAATCTGCTTCTTTAACTACAAAATGAAAAATTAATACCTTTAAAGCTTAAATAATACGTTGCAGTAAAAATCAAGTGTAAAATTACAAACATATCAAAACTCCCCACAAAACATAAGGAATGATGACTTTAAATAGAAATAAGGCTGTGGACTTTCTTAAAGTGTTTAAAATATTGCTCACTGTGTTAGTGCGCTTGGGCTGCGGCAACAGAGTACAATAGACTGGCTGGCTTAAACAACAGATTTTTTTTTTCCCCTCAGTTTCTTGAAGCCTTGGAAGCAAAGATAAAGTGTCAGCAGATGTGGCTTCCCAGCTGGAAGGCAGCTGCCTTCTCTTTGTATCCTCACAAAGCAGAGGGGAAGCTCTGCTATTTCTTCCGTTTCTTGTGAGATCCCTAATCCCATCATGGGGTCCCACCCTTATCTAAACCTAGTTATATCTCAAAGGCCCCATCTTCTCATACTGTCACACTGGGGGTTAGAAATTCAACATAGTGAATTTTGAGGGACGCACACATTCAGTCTGTAAGACTCCCATTTATGCAGGGGGAAAGATACTGGCACAATTGATGCATGGTTTGATATCCACCAAAGGAAAGGAAATACTGAAAAGTCATTAACACCTTAAAGTGACTATAATTTTGCCATTAAATTCATGGCAAGAGGATAGACTCTCAAATTCAAAATTTCAACAATGAAACCATCTTTCTTTAACAAGTTTGTGTATGTTAAATTCTGTGCGAAAGTGAAATTCTGAAAAAACTTTAAAGATAAGCTGGAATCTCTCTTCACTTTATGGATGGGAATGCCGAGACCGCCGGAAGTTCAGTGTGTTAGCAAATGGGTGATTATAGGTGGAGACAGGTCCTCATTGATGTCACTTCTTCTGTATCATATATTTAGGAGCAGTCATTTCAGCATGTCTAGGTAGACATTGTATTACTTAGAGATTTACCTCCACCTGGACTTACACAGAGGGTGTGTAGGATTTGCTGACAGTGTGATCATTCTGTAGGGTGAAATGGGAGTCACCACGAGGAGCATCTTTTCCCCCTCCTTTGTTCTGATATGAGGAAAGTGAGAAGTTAAGTTGCTAGCCAAGGAGTCTCATAACTAAGAGGCTGAATCATGTAGGCAAAAGCTTGCAGGCTTTGAGTAAGTCAGGCCAAGGATGAAGTTTGGTTTTACCACTTTTTAGCTGTGTGACCTGGGGACACACAGTTTTAGCTTTAAATAGGCCCTCAGTTTCACATCTGCAAATTAATAATGTAAAGGTAAAACAAGACAACAGACGAAGTGCCTGCTACATAATAAGCACTCACCAACCCCCACCTTCTTTTTTATAGCAAATCATGGTCTAGCAACTACAATTCTTAACTCCCAGTCTAGTGCATTTTCCATTACACCTTATGTTGCATGGGTAGCATTGTTTTGAACTGAGACTATTAAGTGCCTTTTTAAAAACCTTATCTTCCAAAATCAATCTCTTCACAATTTTAATAATGCATGAAAGGAGCTAGAAGTTGGCCCACAGAGATTTTTACAAACCAAAGGGTTATTTTTAATTGGATTTTGTGCCTGTTGTTATGGAAATAGTTGTTGCATAGATTATGCATTATGACTTTACTGCAAGATCAAGCCCAGGATGGAGTATAACGATGATATCACCCTTATATATGCTTCTTTTCCTTGACAAAATGCATTTAAAAATGAAAAAGATAGAAGTAAAGCTGCTTCAAAAGCACGTATTTCTAACAAAATAGTACCTTATAAAAATAGCTCTAAAATGATATGTTCTCCTTTCAAGGATCAAAATGAAAGATGACCCTTACTGCCAGCAGGGTGCTAAGATGCTGCAGAGTTATTAAACACTTCTTTCTTCACTATTGAATTTAGAAAGAGTATTTTTTTTTCATTCTGGAACTTGCTTTCAACATTTGATCTCTAAGTATTTTTGCGGTTGCTGGACTAGCAGGCTTTCTCTAGTGATGTAACCATCAATCTCTTAAAACTGTTGTATCTAGAACAGTTTTAAATTCATGTATCTGGATTTGTAATTTAATTTCCCTAAAGAAACAAAAAGATATAAATAACTGAGGCAATTCATCCTGTCAAATTTCGCTTATATCACTGGCTCATTTCTAAGCCTGAGATACGCCATCCAAGGATGCATGACTTGAATTATTAGTAGCACCATAAGAGAAATTAGTAGGCTGGTCGATAGGCTGTGGTTCTGAAAGCAACAATGATCTTATGTGGATGGAAAACTGAGGTTTCTTCTACTTGGTGTCCTCTCTCTCTCTCTCCTCTTTCTTTTTTTCTTCTCCTTGGCCTGTGTCTTTACTTTCTTATACATCCTCCTGTGATCCTTGGGCATTAATTGGTTTTGCTGGCAGAATTGTGGTTAAACAAATTGTGAACTCCAGTCCTGATTCTCAATCTGTTGACAGCCATGAAATTCAATGATATAATGCCCTTCATTATTTTATGTACCAGCATATTTCCATACTTAAATACCAGGGGAAACATTCATTACCCAACAATATATCTTTAATGTTATTTTTTTCTCAATGATTCATAATGTCAGATTAGTAGAAATACTTATGTTTTAATAAAAATATCCAGTTATATTAAAAGGATTTTCCTTTGCTTTTTTTTTTTTTTTTTTGGGTAAGGGATAGACTCTAGCTTAGTCGTTTGAATAATGTCTACCAAACACCTTTCTGAAACAATATGTCTCTTCATTTAAATTTCATTTGCATAGGTTTATACAGATTCACTAGCAGTTCCTTTCCCAGTTATACTTCTTGCCCATTGCCCACTGGTAAGCCCTTGCCCTCCACTGTTGGTTAACACCACCACTTTTATGTCATGCTCAACAGTTAGCTGTACTATTTTTTTTCTTTCTTTTTTTTCAGCCCACTTACTATGAGTCAATACTTATACCTACACCTACCAGAAGTGCCTCCACCACACACAGAGAGATTTGCAGCATAAAGGTCAATTAGTTGTAAGGTTTATTTAGACATGTTTTTTCGACTCAACTTCCATAAATTGAGGTGGCTGAAGAACCTAAGAACTTGTTGGGCACTGGAGGTACCTGATATATGGCAGCCATCACACAATGTAGTACCTTCTCCCAGAATCCACTGGGAGACTTATCTACTCACTGAAAATGACTAGCTAATGAGCTACAGTCAGATGTCTTCTGGAGCTCAGAGGTTACATGATGGCTAGATACTTTGTTAACAGGAAAGTGGTAACTAAAAATCAGAGTATTTATTTTTTTAAATGTGTGTGTAAATTTGGTTGGGTTCCCAGTGCTATATTGACTGTGCCTATTTATGACAGCAGGTTAATTCACTTGTTATAGATCAATGCATAGGGTTAAAGATTTTTAAATTGTCACACCTAAATGTTTTTAAACTTGTCATTTTCCTTGCTTGCTATGACTCTAATGGGCTTGAAAATTGGTCCAGGCCACCTCTCTTCTCTCTCTCCTTTCTCTCCCTCCTCTCTCTCTTTCTCCCTCTCTTCTCTCTCTCCTCCCTCTCCCTCGCCTTCCCCCTTTCTTTGTCTCTTTCTCTCACTCTCTGTGAGGTTCATTTGCTTGACTGATTCTGAGTGTCCATAATGACTGTTTGGCATATTCTACAGGCAAAGGTCCCGAGACTCTTTTTGCTGGCTATAACCTCAATGATAACGAATGGCACACAGTGCGTGTAGTTCGGCGTGGAAAAAGTTTAAAGTTAACAGTGGATGACCAACAGGCCATGACAGGTAAACGCCCCATCCCCATCGTCTTTTGCTATGCTAACGCTTTTGACTCTCATTTCTTATAGGTGGTTTTGCAACCCAAGGCTGTACACAACTTGAAGCTTGTATACACAATCCATTTTTACTCCAACTATTCTAGTAACAATTTCATTAAATAAGCAGATTTTAAACGTTTTCTCTCTGAAATGACACTATTTCTGTCATATTCTTTGCCCCTTAATAGTGCAAGAAGAAATTATAATACGTTTAATTCTTATGGCCTGATAAATATCTTAGTGCCTCATCAAATATTGAAGTCATTGTTTAGATGCCAGTTTCTGTTTCGTTTCTTTGTTTTGTATATACTTTGGCAATGAACAACTGCAAGTTCTACTTTTTAATTTCTAGGTAAGTGGATAGATATATTGGCATTCTGTCAGATGAAATGCATTTTTCATTTAAAGCTATAATAGATCATTTTGGCCATTTAGCTCAGTTGGTTAAATCTAATATGAGGGATGTCAAGTTTAACCCCCGTTTTTAGATTCCTGAGGTGAGCAGTATGAAGGGCCACCCTAGAAACATAGGAAAGCCATATAAATGAGGAACCTTTCTGCCTTTATTTACTTTGAAAACAACTCCAAGCACATGGCTAACTGGGATCTTAGCTTCTTTTGCTTTTTTCATAGAAGATAGCCATGTTAATTATTCTGGTAAAAAGCACAAAATGGTCCTTGTGCAATGGATATGTGTCTGTTCACTCAATTTTAAGGAGGTCTCTATGCCCAGAGAACAGTCAACTGTATCAATGGAGCAATATTACGTATAGGATTTTAAACTTTTGAAAGATTCATTCTTTAACTTAGGGAAGGAAGGCAAAAAAATGTACAGGGAAGAAGAGTATCAGCTGAAGATCAGCAGCTTTGGTCTAGGACAGTTTTTTGAAGAGGGATGGATTGACTTTTAGATTAGCATTCATAGTTTGGACAACTAGATTTTATCAAAAGGCATGGGAATGAACAGTTAGGATCTAAGGTCACATGTAAGAGTTTGGGAAGAGGCAGCTGCCAATGGCAAGGTCTTGCCAGAACCACAGCACAGCATTTTTAAATCTCTTAGTGCCTCTTGAATATTACAGAGTCCTGTGAAGTAGATAGGGCACACATATTCCCATTTTGTAGATAAGGTAACTGGTACTCGAAGAGGATAAGTGAATTATGTTTCATTTGAATGTGTTACAAGATCTGAAGAGAGAACCTAGGTTTGTTTTTTGTTTTGTGTTTTTTGCTTGGTTGGTTTTCAAGTTACAGTCGATTGTTTAATATTTATCAATATCCTGGTAAGTGCGTGGCTCTGTAGTAAGTATTTTCTCTGGCAATGTATGATATTATAAGGAAAATACATAGATACGTATAAAACACAGATTATTACTGAGGGTACTATGTTGCATAGGGTAATGGATGAACTACTCGATAGTTGACATGAGTACTTTATGGTCTCGGAGTTTAGAAGAAAAGTTGAGGAATTTGGTTTCAAGTATTGTTTAAAGCAATTGATACTATTTGATCTAGGCTTTAAAATGAAAAGATAATGCAGGAGAGAAATCCACACAAGAAAGAATGGTGCTGATGGGGCTAGAGTAATGTTCAGGGAACTAAGAAGATTTATGTTGCTTCATGTAAGCTTATGGCAGTGGGCATAGCTAGAATGGCCTTTTGAGGCCGATTAGTTGGTGGTCTGGATGAAGGAGTTCGTGTTTCATAGACTTTCAGGAAATTGGAAGTTGCTGCATTTAAACTGAAGAATAAACTGAGAAAATATTTTTGAGCAAAATTCATTCTGTGACAGTGTTTTAGAGGGTCCAGGATGTAAAGTAGTAAGTCCTGTACTACAGTGGATGTATCGGGGATGAAAACAAAAGAATGGTGCAAAACATTTTTTTAAGAAATTTATTTTAGAAAGTTATTTCAAAATAATTTCAAATATACAAAAAGTTCCAAAAATATTACAGAGAACACTGTTATACCTTTACTATTGTGAACATTCAAGCCAATATGTTTTGACATTTGTACTCTCTCACTGTCTCTCTCTCTCTTTCTTATTTCTCTTAGCCAGTTGAGGGTAAGTTACATACACAATGTCCCTTTAACCCTGAATACTTCAGCATGTATTTATAAAAAATGGGAATATCCTCTTACCTAAGACGTGAAAGCTACTGACTTCAGTAAACTTTGCTTTTATACAATAGATTTTTCTATTCTGTCATCCACATTCCAGCTTTATCAGTTGATTTGATATTATCTATATGCTGTAAGCATGTTTCCCCCCCATCACAGTGTTCAGGCTAGGGCCAGCTATTTTTTTCCCCCCAGTGGTCATGTTTCTTTAGCTTCCTTTAATCTAGAGCATTTCCATAAACTTCCTTTGTCTTTCATTACGTTAACATTGTTGAAGTATATACTCTCCTCCTGCTTTGTATTAAGATAAAGTCACTCATTTTGTGCTAATCTGACATTTCCTCATGATTGAATTTATATTTTCCATTCTTGGATGAAATACTGCGTTGTTGATGTTGTGGACTCTGTACAGTAAGTATCCCGTCGAGGGTACATGCTGCCCGTGTCTTTGGTGATTTAATTTGACTATTTACTCAACATGTTGTACAGTTTCTCCATTGCATGATTACTATGTTTTCTCCCTTTTAACTAATAAACCATCTTTGGGGAAACATTAAGACTGTGCAAATATCCTGTATCTCTCTCACAATTTTGCCCTAGATTTAGCATCTGTTGGAGAGTTTTGCTTGATTCAGTCTTTACTATGAGCATTATAAAAAATGATTATTTTCAAACTCCAGCACTCCTTCCACATTTACAGTAAATGCTTAGCATTCTGCTGTAAGCAAAGGCCCTTCCTTCTCTCTCCCTTCTTTCTTTAATTTTTCTCCTTCCTTCCTTCCTTCCCTCCCTCCTTCCCTCCTTCCCACCTCCTTTCCTTCCTCTTTCCCTCATCCCTCCCTCCCTCCCTCCGTCCCTCCCTCCCTCCCTCTCTTCCTTCCTCCCTCCCTTTCCTTCCTTCCTTCCTTCCTTCTTCACCCCTCCTTCCTTCTTCCCCCCTCCTGCCTTCACTCCCTCCATCCTTCCTTCTCTCCCTCCTTCCTTCCTTCTCTCCCTCTTTCCATTTTGTCAAAGTTCTCATGAAAGGCAACAATTCATAAGAATAACTCAAACTTGGTTTACATAGTACATAAAAGGTTTCCAAATGTGGCAATGGAAGCTTTAGATTGAGATTTTTTTCAAATATCCTAGTGGCTACTTGAAGCCACCCACAAATCACAGACACAATGGGAGAGTATTATTAAATTTTATAGCAAGTCAAAAATCACAGAATGATAATTTTTAAAAGGAAAGTACTAGAGACTCTTCATGCAAAGTCCTACATTTTCCCCTGTCTTTAAGTTATAGTAATTCTATTAAGTCAAGTATCTGTTGAACACAGGGCAGTACATACTCAGGCTGTTCCTGGGATTGTTTGTATCTCACCTAGGGTCATGAGGATAGCAGTTGCCAGCAGAGAAGCCCAAGGAAGGAGATATCCTCGGTTATAGATGACAAGGGGTTGTACAAATTATGTGGAATCCCTGACTGGGAAGTCACTGGGTTTCAACTCCTCATCTAGTCTGTCTAAAAAATCTAGAATTGTGTTTGTTATATCTGTGTGTGTATGCCCTTTATTGAACAACATTCACCATACATCCAGTTACTCAAACCTAAAAGCCAGACATCATTATTTCCCTCCTTTCTTTCATTCTGTACATCATTAGTAAATCCTGGAAATTGTATCCACATATTTATCTTTTTGTTGATTATTTCCATTTCTGCTATAACTGCCCTAGTTCGCTTTCTAATCTCTTGTGCCCACAAAGCGAATACGTGCCCCTCCCCCACGAAAACACCCACACACACGTACGTTGAGTGTTGAGTCATGGTTAGCCGCTGCTTCAAATCCTCCTTAGCTCTGAGTATAAGAAGCACTGTGAGAAATCTGGACCCTGTCACTCCTTTCCCTCCCATGTGAACCACTAACCTACCTGCTCCCAGCTCTGCAGTCATGCCCTCTAGCTGTTTCTCATCCAAAAGCCTTTCTTCCTTTCTCCCCTCTTCCTGGAATCCACCCTTGATTCCCTTTCTCCAATTCTTATCACGGCTTTCTCTTTTTAATTCTTCAAATCTAGCTTAAATATCAAATCAGCCATCTTCTTTCATTTCATATTTACCAACACAGTACCCCATTCATCAAATTCGTAGCATTTCTTTGAGTTTTGTTACTATATATTTAAGCACATCCTTACCTCTTTTGTCTGCCTTTCCCCAATAGACCATGAGTTTTGAGAAAATGGGCCCTTTCTGCTCCTGTCAACACTATTTCTCCAATACCAAGCCTAGCACTTGACACATATGCCACACAATCAGTAATTTTAAGTGAATTAACAAGTGGATGTAAGGGAGGGTTATTTTGCTCGACATGAGAAATGTAACCTAACGCAGATCACATATTAACCTTGCTATTTATTTTGGTAAAAATATTTGACTTGGAAATATTGAGATTTCTATACAAACTCAGCATCTAGGAAACATGTTTTGGTTGTTATCTTATCGGAGATTATTGTCAATCTGCTATACCTTAGATATTTTGATCAAAGCATTTTGCTAATTCCAAATTTTCCTTGGTAGTGCTAAATGATTAGAACATTAAAAATCTTTCTGCTTCAAAGTCTTAATTTTTTTCCCTATTTAATCAACAAATGCCTACAGTAGCAGATGTGCCTCTATTACTGATGAGGATTAAACATTGGAGTAAAAAATCCTGAAGAAAAAATAATTTTTTAAAGAAAGCAGCAATCAGTTAATATTTTCTTAGTAAATAATGGTTTTTGGATGCCAATTCTCCCCAGTGAACAAACATATCTGCCATTACTGTATGTGTGATATATATGTTTAGATATATACATATATATGTATATATATATAATATTACATATACTTATTAATAAAGAAAGTGCTCTAAAACACAGATTATAATGTCTTTTCTTATAACTGGGCCACAGTTACTTCAATGCTGTTTTACGGCCTTTTTATTATTTATGCTCTGTGGGTACTTGATTCCTTTGAGAAAGGAAAATGAATGCTGTGTTATTTTTGTTTCTGAACTCCTTAGTCCTGTGAATAAACTGGTCTTTCCTTTTTTAGAGGGGGTAAGAACTTGACAACTGGGGGTAATATTTAACTTCAAGTGTTAGAAATTTTGTTTGTGAATTTTTTTTTTTTTAATTTTGGTTGTTTTATCAATAGAACTTTTAAGAAGATACATGGCAGTTTCAGGGCCAGAGCAGGTTTCACTGAGTTAAGGCTCATATTTTAATGTATCATAAGGATAAAAATCAGCACAAGGGGATATGAAAGCCCACATGTTTTATAAGCTTCTCATATTCTTCATTGTATTTAGCTCCCTAAATGCAATGTTGCTCGTGTGTTTAGAGCTTCATATTTGGACATAATTAAAGATTAATTTTATTTGTTACCAAAGAGGTAGATCCCCATGGAACAATATTGGGGTCATTGAACAGGAAGAACTGAGGGAGAAGATAGTAATGATGTCACGGGAGAAACCAGAAGTGACGAGGATGGAATAGCACTTTTGCATCAGATAGAGAGTCGGGGATTCTGGTGCTGAGGGTTGGGAGAGACAAGGCAATTATTTATGGTGACATTTTTGTTTTAAAAATATTTGCAGAAAGGGAATCAGAACAAATCAATGGCTGAAAAGAGAACATGCCAAGGATGGCTAGAATGTTGTCTCCGGGATCAAGGACTAATAAAGAGTGTTTGAAAATGAAATCGCATCAAGTACATTTTGGGGGATTTTTGTGCACAAATACGTTTATAATCATCAAAGTCAATTAACCAAATATGTAAATGGTTTTTCTTGCACAACAAAAAGCATGCCTTCTAAATTTTACTTACAGATACTTCCTTAAAATACTACCTAATATTTTACTGTCTTGACTAAAGAAATGGAAATTTGTCAAACTGGCTGAAGGGGGCACACATAGATGATTGTTCAATCTTCACTGGGGAAAAGGTCCAAAGCATTTTATCAGGAGCTGATTCTGGGATTAGCTGTAACTAATATTTTCATTCATATTATGGATGATGGAATAGTAGGTAACGTGATACATTTCCCAATTCTGGCAAATCGCGTAGGTAAGCTAGCACTGGAAGAACTTGATTAAAAAATAAATGTGCATTTTTAGTTGCAGAAGAGAGTGACTGACAGTTTATTTAGACAAGAGCAAGATGCTGGGTATGAACCACTAGTACAGGTATAAGTAACTTTTATTTATGTTGCACTTTAATATTTAGAAAACAAGTTCACATCTTTGCTTATTTATCTTACCTTCAACCTTGCAAACAGGTGAAATGTTTACTCTGGAAATAAGGATGGGACTAAGTTTGCTTTCAACGGTTTGACAGAGAAATAGGGAGGGACAGAGAGAAATGAGGACTGAGCGGAATAGTCAATTGCTAAATAAATTTGCATCCAAGCTTCACCCTAGGATGTTTAAAGAAGATTTTTGCCTGGTGATATGATGCATGCTAGGCTAATTTTACAGGTATTACCAAAATTGGGAAGCTTTGACTTAGTATATGTTGCTAAATTTAGTTATATAAAACTTAAGGACAAAAAAAATGGCATAGGTACAGAAATCAGCAGGATTTCTAATGTGTTTAGAAGACTAGTGTGAACAAAAACTATGGCCATTATTGAACACAGAAGAGGGAAATTGAATAGTATATATTTAACTTCTAACACACGTTCATGTTTCATTATTGGAAGAAATGGCTGCAACTCTCCACTATTTCTATTGGGTATAGGAAAATATATAGTCACATTTTTTTCCTGGAAGAACATTTATAAAGAATAACATCACCTAACCATGAAGCTTGAGATGTATACTTACCAGTGGTATGACTGAGAATAATCACTGCTCCTAATCCATCTCTCTGTCCACCCACCCTTCTTACCATTTTCCCTCTTTCTCTTTCTTTTACTATTTCCTCTCGCCTTTTAAAAGATATGTTTCTTAATGAGGATGATTTTTGTTAAGACTAAAATTTGGACAAGGATTAAAACCTGGCCTAAGAATGTTTTATTAGATAATCCAAGTTTACCTTTTAGCATCATTTAGATGTCTTACCATATGCAACTGAGTACCAATGAGGTATCTGGCTTCTTGTATTTTAAAATGTGATATTATTATGAAAGCCTAAAGTTGAAAGTGCCTTTCAGATACAGAAAATAATCATATGTTCTTCTCTTTTTTAGGTCAAATGGCGGGTGATCACACGAGGCTGGAGTTCCATAACATAGAGACTGGCATCATCACAGAACGACGATATCTTTCTTCTGTCCCCTCCAATTTCATTGGACACCTGCAGAGCCTGACGTTTAATGGAATGGCATACATTGACCTGTGTAAAAATGGCGATATAGATTATTGTGAGCTCAATGCCAGATTTGGCTTCAGGAACATCATAGCAGACCCTGTCACCTTCAAGACCAAATCGAGCTATGTTGCCTTAGCTACCTTGCAAGCCTACACTTCTATGCATCTTTTTTTCCAGTTCAAGACAACATCCCTAGATGGACTAATTCTGTACAACAGTGGGGATGGAAATGACTTTATTGTGGTTGAATTAGTTAAAGGGTGAGTACATGCCCGTTCAATAACAAATAAGTAAAACTTTGGAAAAACAGACATCAGTTTCCAAAAAATATACACTAAGAATAATATATTAGCTCCTAAGTTGGGGGGCAGGGGCAGGCAGAGGACAAATAGGGATGTATTTGTTTAAATCATCTCTTAGGGATCTTAAATTAATATGGATTCAGGACAGTTTTTTGCACATACATTTTCACACATGAGATACAAATTACATCAGACTGTAATGTATAGAAGGCATGTCATGAATCTTATACTTCAAGTGGGCATTTCCTGACTACGCACAATGTAATCCCACAAAAGCATTGCTACAAGTTTGGAGGATACTCTATGCTAAATTAAATAGCTAATTCAAGTACTCAGATTATTTAAATTTCAAAGAATCCTTTTAAAACAAACTTCTTTCTATGTCAGAGTTCCTTAGAGAATTTAGAAAGGAAGATTTGTGTAAACTTTTCTTAAAACTGTGAGGAAAACTTAATGTATTTTAATTGATTTGAGCATTTATTCATTCATTCTGCAAATATTATTGCATATTTACAATAGGCCACATCACATGCCATGCACTGATATACATATACATCCTTCTGCAACCCTTGTGCACGTCTCAGATGGCTACCACTGTGAGTCATACCCACACACACCAACATACAATCCTAGGGTTTGTAGATGAACACATAAATAGAAAAGAAAAACGCTGTGACGTGTTTCTTGAAATGATCACATGCAAAGGCTCAGGAGTCTTCAGGGAAATTAGAAAAACCTGTAGAGCAGGAAGTGGGTATTTGATCTGAGTGTTGAAGGTTGAGTACACATTTCCTATACTCAAACAGGGATTCGAGATAAAGGAGAAAAGCCGGTGCAAGAATGAGAACAATGTCCATTTCAAGTGGTTAGAAAAGGATGGAGGGAATTGTGGAAATAGGGAAAGCATGGTGAAAGATACCTCCTTCCAAATTCGTAAATTTAAATGTAGACCATTATTTTAAAAATCATTTTTACCATTTCCTTTAGTGAAGACACTGAACAATCAAAGTGTTTGTTTCTTCTTGTTAGCTGAGCTTCTACGTAACTCATTGTCATGACCTCTAGTAAGGATGAAACCATTGGAAAAAAAAAATCTCCATTTGTAATATCAACTTTAACTTTCATCATAATTTAAAAAGTGATGGCAGCTTCCCCTTTCATTCTTTTCCCAGGTACTTACATTACGTGTTTGATTTGGGAAATGGTGCTAACCTCATCAAAGGAAGCTCAAATAAACCTCTCAATGACAATCAATGGCACAACGTGATGATATCAAGGGACACCAGCAATCTCCACACTGTAAAGATTGACACGAAAATCACAACACAAATCACTGCTGGAGCCAGGAACTTAGACCTCAAGAGTAAGTGCATGATAAGTCAGAGTAACCAGTCTTGCACCACACAGTCTCCCTTCACCTGGAAAATCCTTTGCTTAGGGGTGCATTTGTACCTTCTGCAAAGACTGACGAGAATTTCATTTTCAGCACCTAATTAATAATACAACACACAAGCCTCTGCTCCCCCTTTAATGTGGTAGGAACCTATGTATTTTTAATAACAGCTTAAAAATGCAGCACCTAAGAAAGCATGCATGATTAAAATACAGAAAGTGAGAAAAATATAATATCGGTCTTGATATTAAAAAGGCATTTGTAAGTTACTTAAGCCCCAAGAGTTTTCAATTGATTTAAAGTTAGGGAACCAGATATATAAGGAGCTTATTCTAGAGCTTATTAGTTTTCTTTCCTTGGTGAGGTTTCCCAGATACTGTCGGACTCCCTGATGAATAGGAGTTTGAGGCTGGCTTGGATGACCCGTGTCTCCAACAGTGAATTCTATCCTGCATCACACACCACACACACACACACACACACACACACACACACACATGCACACATGGGAATGCTTCTTTCACCAGCTGCTAAGAAAGTCTTACCATATACTTCTTTTGCTTATTGACACTTCATTTCTCAAATGTACAAGACAAAATGCTTAGAAAACATGTCAATAATAGGAGAGAAATGACAGAAGTTTCTATTTGAATCCCTTGTGATTCACTAATAATGTATGTGTGGATCCCATCTCATTTAACACTACAACAAGCATTGCAGATGGTATTATTACCATGTTATTCTCAATGTAGAAAATCTGAGGTTTGAATGACTCCAACACCCTCCCCCAACCCCACTGATTCTTCTGCTGTATCCTGATGCATTGCAAAGCCTCACAGACATCATTGCAGGCATAATTTTTCTTGGAAAGTGTTGCTCATTTTTATTGATGGGATCTTTCCATTTGATTCAAAAGTTAGATACATTGAGGAGGGAAGTTAGGAGACTGGAAAGAGAAAATTCAACAGAGTT